AGTTGCTCATATCTCAAAAATAAATTCACATGGCACAAATCCTTTTCAGTACCCGATACCTGAAGCAAAATTATTCTTTTAAAAATGAACACAGTAAAGATACTATTTAATTGTTTATACATAGTGATAGCCCAGTTTGAATCAGTACTCGGAAATACTTTGGTCTTAAAATACTATGTTAAAAGTAAAGTCAGTAATTCTAACTGTTACTTGCGTAGAAGTGCACAACTATTATCAGCCAAATGTACTCAAAGTATCAAAAGTAATAATAGGGTGCAGAATGGCTCTTTTAACAGTATTATAGCATAATAATATAAATGATCCTGTCTTTGTCACGGTACATGTAGGAACATATTAACATTGTCAATGTAAAGCTTATTTAAAGGTCCCATGTCATGCTTTTCTGGTTATTACCCGTCCCCTTGTGTGTTATGTAGCTTTTTATGCATGTAAACGGTCTGCAGAGTCACAAACCCTCAAAGTACACCCTGTAGCGAGTAAAACTCTAACACAGAAAAGACCTGTTTATGCTGCCCCAGAACGCCTCGTTGGAGATTTCTCTTTTTCTTCCTGGGTACAGTGACGTATTTGGGTATAGTGACGTAACGTTACGTTACGTCCGCGGAGCCGTTACACACACACACTCAATCTTTTCTCAGCTGCAGCTCCGCGGATTTCTCAGCCTGAGACGTCTGGACGCGGCGAGGCTGTGAGTCTGTGTGTGAGCACACACACAAACTCCCAGCCAGGCTGCGGGTGTGTGTGTGTGTTCGGGCTGGTTTCGGCCTGGGTTTCGCTGTGTCTCGCTGTCTCGCAGACGGCCACTGGGCTCACAGGGAGGGGCAGGAGCTCCAACAAGCCGTTTAGGACAGAGAGTGAATACACATACTATACAGAGATACTGTATGAGAAACCAATGTGAGTTTGGAAAATTGCACAATATAAATCTATTCTAGTAGACCTCAACAATGGAATTATGATCAGTAGAAATGGCCATGACATGGGACCTTTAAGATACTTTGTAAAACACTGGGTCAACATGTAACACAATGCTAATTAATATAAGCTATCGTGTGTGTTATATATGTAAAAGGTAACTATGAGTTGAACAAAATTAAAAAGTTCAATATCTGCTTCCAGAATGTGCTGGACTGAAAGTTATTAAACATACTTAAATAATGTCAAACTAGTTCTTAAGTACAGTACGTGAGTAAATGTACTTCAATCCACCACTGGTTTTAGTAGTTTATTTACAGCACATGAATTGCCCTGGTTTATCAAATTTGCTTTTCATTTTATAGCTATTTATTAAATGTACTCTGATTTAACCACACCTGTATACACTCTGCACTCTGTGAATGTTGTGCACACTTCCCTCAGTAACAGAGATAACCCAAGAACATTCACAAAACAAAGGGTGCTGGCCTTCTCCGTTTTCTTCCCACCGTGATACTATGTCTATAATGTATTTTATGCAATCGTTAGATATCTTGCTTCTCCTGAGGCTTTATCTCTGAACATTTCAGCTCAAAACTGTGTGATTTTGTTAAGCATTCTTTGGACAATAGATTAGTAAACCACCAAAGACATCTGACATACCTGTTAGTGCCACACTCTTCAGCCTCGCACTTGCAGCAATCAGATCAAACGCCGTAGGGTTGGGTATCTTGGTTGTAATCCATGCAGTGGCAACATACAAACGCTCCTCAAAGTCCTGTAGACAATATCAATTGTTTTTAATAAAACTTTAGAGAAAGTGCAAACACCAACAGTTTGTGTGTGAACTGCGCTAACAACCTACCGTTGTTTTATTAACAACTGTGAATTGGGGGCATGGGCTGCCACGGCAATACTCTGGAGCTTCCCATTCCTGTCCTCCGCAGAGCGGCACCAGAATCAGCAGGGAGGGTAACAGCTGCATCCTCTCGACTCTCTAACGTTTCTTCACAGACGCAGCAGCAGACACGCTCCTGCTCATTTATACTGAGGGGAATGTCCCATCACAAGCAACCAGTCCATCAGGTCACACAGGCCCTGCCACATTGTTCCTCTTCCAGGCAGTCTTGGCCTCACTGTTTGTTTTGGAATGATAATGAAAGTGTCTTCTCCTTAATGATTCATTGTTTTGATGCACATTACCAATTCAATGAGGACTAGAACTTCTCGATCTATAGTGTATAGAGCAAGCCCCCAAGTGAGCTGAATCAGAGAAAAGAATCAGAAACCGGTTTATGGCCTCATACAGTACTTGTTAACTTACTTGGCAATAAACCTGTTTCTGATTGTTTCATGATTCTGAAGCAACATTTTGTTGTGGCCAAACAGTGTCGGAAATTCCATGTCAGTCCATAACGTCATTGGGCCGAAAAAGCCTTTTTTCCATTATCAGCATAAATCAGCAGATTTGTTTTGCTCAAAGTTAAAAGATGAAGTCTTAAACGTTGTTAAAGTCAAATCAGTTGTAATTTCCCCTCCGCATTAATTAGACTGAGCCGAGACGTGACACTGTCCTGGCGGAGTTTGTAGGCGGGAAAGTGAAAGGGGGAGGAATATCTGGGTATATTTCATAGAGTCAGGCAATATTTGCATCATTTATATGAAATATGCTCAGTGGTGCACAAACAGGGCCCACGTTTTGATCAGCAGGACACTCTCTACATACTAACACCACTTTTATAATAGTTGAAGTACAAATGCAATCAGCAGGGTAAACAGCTTAGATAAACCGAGTAGGGAGACCAGGGACAGTTGCAACACTTTTTGGGCTTTTCCCCAATAAGTAAAAAAACATTTACAATAGGATAGCCATTTTGCTATATTATACATTATCAATATGTCAGCTACTGAAACAATGTATTTAAGATGTTTTTATGAAATAAGTACAGGTTGGAAAATGTATTTAAAAAAACAAACTCAACTGTTACAACTGTCCTTGTGTACAGGGACAGTTGTAGCACATGCCAGGCACGGTTGTAACATGTTAATAACGGTTACCTTTTTTCACACTACATGACAACAAATAGGGAAAGCTGTCAAATTCTAAGGCAACAAGATTTGAATGGGGTTTCACACATCCTCCAACAAACAATGAACAATGAACAGGATAACAGATAACACACACAGCATCATCCTCTGTGAAGGATTAAACTGTTCTCTGAGAGGTGATTCTACCTTAATTATGTAGACCTGCCTCCTTTGAGCTGAGACCATGATATAAATCAGCTGCCTCCATCAGATAGTCTCTCAAAAGCATCTCCTGCTCTGTTGAGAACACCTTCTTTGGTGTCCAGTAGCTTACTCTTGGGGGTGTTTGTGATCCCTGACTCTCCAACCTCAGCCTCTTTGTATGGAACCGGTACAGGGTGACATGGCATATATCCAGGGACTTTGCCACTTCCCTGAATGATTTGCCCTTCTCAACTTAATTTGAGGCCCTCTGCAGCAGAGCAAGTGGCACTCCCCTGTCTGTCTTCCTCTTTCTGACATTTGGCATACTGTAAACACACACACACACACACACACACACACACACTTTAGGCCTATACTGTACAGTATTTTATTCTGTTTATTTTTACAGGGACAATGCACACCAATCAACAATACAACTGTATGCTTGAATGAACAATTGATCATTCAAGCAAATGTGTCATCATTGTAAATGTGCCATGTTACAACCGTCCCGTTACAACCGTCCCAGGACCACCAGTCTTGCTTTCACCCCCTGTGAACCTGCCTGATTGCTAGCTTGACCCATATTTAGCTAGTTCTATTTGTAGCTTACAAAACAGTGATTCTAATAATACTAGTTTGGATTCCTAGACATTTGAACTCAAGACAGTATCCAAAAAATACATCATATAATTTTAGTTAATATTTTACCTCAGAAACACACTTTTGCCGATATCTTACGCGAGAAATTCAAACGTGGCTCCTTTTTTTCTCAGCGATCTTACCATCTATCTGCGCATGTGCAGAGTGAGTTTCATCACTCCAGCTTGTTTGTGATTGGAGATATTGAAGGTGTGACAACCGACCCGTGTTGCAACTGTCCCTGGTCTCCCGACCGCATCACCACCGCTAAGATCTTTTAATTTAAAGACAGCTTATATTTTATTTGTATCATTTCTGAAGCTGCTGTGCACTTCTAAATACAATTTGTGTGCTGGAACTTTGGCCGGTATAATAAAATGTTAAGACTTTATTGATGACCTTTGAGGCCTTGAGACGCCTGCCCCTCAGAGGCATTCCTGTCGGTCGTTCCAAGGTCCCGAGGAGAGCAGCGCTGCAAAATGTCAGCTCTTTTAAGTCACTTTTTTTGAGAATTGCCTTTATGTAATTTAATTTTTAGTCTTATTTTATTTTTCATTTATTTTTATTCTATTTATTTTTGTTGTATTCTTTTATGTGTTTTACTATATGTTTTTATGTTTAGTTGCTTTTGTTTAATTCACTTGCTGTCAGTGTATTTTAATGTTAAACCACTTTGCAACTATGTTTTTGCCATATAAATAAAGTTTATTATCATTATTATGTTTTAGTAATGGCCGGATACCATCAGCAGATGGCGCAACCCGATAAAAAAGACGTTAGGAGAGAGGTAGAGGGTGAAGGAGCGAGAGAAGGGAGATTCTTTCCTCCACACTAACGCACCTTCTCATCCTGTATATACACCTGCAGCCTCCCCTTGCAGTCCTCCTCCTCTCCCTCCCCTCCTCCTCCCCAGCGGTCGGGCAGCGGTAGTGCGTACTGAGCAGCGGGAGTGCGCAAAGGCGGCCGGCATGCACCTGGAGAGAAACCGCCCCGCCAAGCCGAGCGAGGGCACAGCCAGAGCCGCAGCAGTGTGCGGACTGAAGCTCTAACAGCGGGGAGAGCAGCAGCAGCAGAGACCCGAGCGGAGACCCGAGCCGCAGCATGGGCGAGGCTCAGTCCAACTGAAAACGATGTAAATCCACGGACGTAAAAAAAATGGGTGGGTTGGTGGGAACATAAGTAGGATCAGAGTTATCCCTGTCAGGCTTGGTTTGGTGTTTCCGAAATCCACCAGACTTTTTTCCCTTGCCAACCTCAACTAAAAGGATGGAGAAAGGCGCGCAGGTGTCCAAAAGCGCTGAGAGTCCGGCGGAGGATATCTCCAAAATCAGCGACGAGGAGCTGCTGAAGTGGGGCAAAGAGGAGCTGGTGCGGAGACTGCGGAGGGCAGAAGCGGGGAAGAGGAGCGCCATCGTGGAGCACGGCAATCTGATGCGGGAGGTCAACCGGAGACTCCAGCAGCACCTGAACGAGATCCGTAGTCTAAAGGTGAGCTGGGTGTGGAGGTCGGGTGGGGCCACGGGGGGGGCCACGGGGAACCATGGTCTAACTGGTTTCTCACTGTTGTATACAGGTGAGTGAGCTGTAATGGATATGCTGAAATGCTGATCTGGATCTGCACAGTGGAAGATGATAAGGGCCACATGTGAATTGTTTTCCTCAGATTTCTGACTTTAATATCAGAATAAAACAAATCAAAAAACACTTTTGGTCAGATCCAAAAAAGGAAAATCACATGTGGCCCTAATCATCTTCTGTAGCTAGGGCATGATCATTAAGAGAGGAAGCAATCTGAAATATGGCCTCAAAAGGGCAAAATGGCTGAGGTGGAAGAAATACTCAGACCCTTTACTTGAGTAAAAGCAGGGCCGTCCCTGGCCAACTTGAGGCCCCATGCAAAGTTAGATGATGAGGCCCTCTGTTTCGCCAGCGTCGGGGCGCAGACTGAAAACTCATCTCTTTCGACTCCACTTCGAGCGATAGAATTACTAACAAATAATTACTAACAAAGCACTTATATACTAATAAAGGCCTGGTTTATCTAAAGCCAGTTGAGTAGCACTTGAAATGTTTTGGCTCTATGAAACCTGATGTACATATGATTCTGTTTTCTTCAAGTTTGTATCTTCTTGGTCAAATGCACTTATTGTAAGTCGCTTTGGATAAAAGCGTCAGCTAAATGAAATGTAATGTAATGTAATGTACTTCAAGTATCAAACATAGTACTCAATATGCAGAGCAGCTTCTTCACAGTATTAAACCATATATTATATTTGAAATTTTAGTTTTTTAATGATGCTGTAACCAACAAATACATGTGGTGCCAATTGTATTTCCTCTTAAAAAACTGGGTATATAAGTAATACAGTACTGCATCATATCATTTATCATGTGTTTTTATTTTCATAAAGTAGCTAGTATGAGTCTTAATTAAATGTAGTGCAGTAAAAACTAAAATACTGCTTTTCAAAAGTAGTTTGGAATAGGAAATACTCAAGTAAAGTACAAGTATGTCAAAATAGTCCTTAAGGATGGTTCTTGAGTAAATGCAATGTTCTAGCCTTTCCAATGTCAGGTTTGCTGTTTTTTCTGTGTTTTATATCATAGTAAATCAGTATGTCGAATGACAACAATTATGTATTAGGGCTTGGGAAATGGAAAACAAATCGTATCCCGTAATCATAAGATGATTTTATATTAAATCAAATCAAATCAAATCAAGTTTTATTTATAAAGCACATTTAAAAGCGATTTTTGGTCGAGCCAAAGTGCTGTATATGTAATAAAAACACATTACTACAATCACAATAAAAGACAATAAATTACAACAGATATATATAAAAAATAAAAAAAAACACAAGGAAAAGTCAGGAGTCGTGCTCCACTCTAACTAGAAGGCCGTAAATGGCAGTACACAATATTTATTATTTTTATCATTGGCGATTTTACAAACACTTAATGAACGTATTAAAATACTGTAATCACAATTAAGAAAATGTGGGATTTTCAGCTCCTGCTTTACAAATCCCTAAGCTGTGCACATGACAGAAAACCTGGAAACATGACAACAAATATATACTTGCTCTGAAAAACTACTGATGTAGTACTGAGGTAGTAACGGCCCTATTGGTTGCGAAGCGGCATGTGGGATTGAAGAATTCAAACATTTAGAAATGTGGATATCATCACTTACTTCTGCTCTGTGTGTGCTTCTTTTTGTGTGCCAATGTTAACCAGGACGTGAACCAGAAACTGCAGGAGGACAACCAGGAGCTGCGGGACCTGTGCTGCTTCCTGGACGATGACCGGCAGAAGGGAAAGCGTGTTTCGAGGGAGTGGCAGCGTCTGGGCCGCTACAGCGCCGGCCTGATGAGGAAGGAGGTGGCCATCTACCTGCAGAAGCTGAAGGAGCTGGAGCAGCGCCAGTTGGAGGTCATCCGGGAAAACCTGGAGCTCAAGGAGGTGTGCCTCATGCTGGAGGAGGAGAGGACTGCGGCCGTGGCTGGAGGAGTTGTGGGGGGGCACGGAGGAACCGGGCGTAGGAGCTCCATTGACAGTCAGAGCAGCTTGTCTCAAATGGGTGGAGGTGTCCCAGCACCTGGCCTGCTGCGGGATGTAGGCGATGGAAGCAGCACCTCCAGCGCAGGGAGCACGGACAGTCCAGACAACCTCAAACCCCCCCCCCTGGACTCCAACACCAGTCCTGGGTCAAGATGCATCTCTTCGGAACACCACCGGAAACCAGGAGATGTGTGTGAATCCACAGGAAGGAGGCACAGCTCCACCCCGGAGTACTACACATTCCCCCAGTCGTGCCGCCCCCGAGGGGGATCCCTCACTGACTTGGACCCTCGTGGCCTTCGGAGTCACAGCCAGGAGAAACACAGTAAGTCTCCCACCAGGATACCATGTGACTCCAACCCAAAACCCCACAGCTCTGACCTACTAGCCCACAAACAGCTATCTATGTCAGGGCAGGCATCACCCGGCCGTGGGAAGAACACCGCCAAGTCAAGCCCAGAGCTGGGTCAGAGACACCGCTCAAGTCACATGGGGGGGGCATGCTGTGGGAGTCCGGAGGCCATGCTTGCAGCGATGGGGACCCCAGAGCACCTGAGGAAAGGGCGGGTGATCGTGGGTAGTCCAGAGTCTATACGGCACCACCAGCACTATCAGCACAGCCCCGGGATGGAGCACGGTAAGGGGAGGTTTAGCGGTGGATCCCCAGGCAGGGAGCAGAGGAGAGCAGCGGGAGAGGAGATGGCCCCCCACCACCATAGTCTGTACAACGGTAGGCAGAGGGTAACTCTTATCTTGTATTTAATTCATTACTCATTCATGACCCATTACCAAGAACATTTAGAAAAATACACAAGTTATAACAGCACGAATCTGGACTGATTGAGTCACAATCACCTGGCTTTGAAACAATGGAAATTAATTATACTTAGCTAGCTTCCAACAAACTAACAGAAACCCACTATTTATATTTATGCCCTGGCCTTAAACCAAGACCTGAACCAGGTCTGTATCCATGCCAAGTGAGAATATGCCACAGTGACCCACCAGCACAATAGAGACATTCTCGACCAACAACTCTTGTGCAAGAGGTTTAGTGGAAATACATATTGCAGTGAAATACTATTATCAGAAAAATAAAAAAGTAGACTTTTCGGCCAGATAAACCAATTTAGTTGACTCTTAATGTTTTTCACACTTAACTTGACAACAGTCCAAACAGTAATCCAGAACTGAACTCTGCACCATCCCCATGTCGCTTAAGGCGAGACACGGCAGGCAAAAACATCGTTTTTCATGCACTGGTCAATTTTGAGATTTTGTGCTATTTTGATTCTATAACATGTTTTCTTTCAGGCCTTTGGAAGGAAAACGTACAAAATACACATTTAAGTGTTTATTTTACTATAGTTTTTCTATTTGCGTCTGTACATTTCTCCTAAATTCACCAAAAGTTAGCATTCTAATGTAACATAAAGTACCGCGACCGCTGTTTGCACCATGTCATCAGAGATATCGTTGGAAAGCTCCGTCTCTCCTGCACAATCTCATCATTTCCTTTGTATCAGCAACCAATCGTGAAAGTACAAAGGGGTCTTAAACCAAGAAACGAAATCTCATTGGCTGGTGTCAATTTCTGACAACGTGATTCGTTCAGATGCGTCACGTGGTGTGCTAAAACACTTCCTGGTTAGCTTTCCGCTAGAAATTTAAATCTCAAAATGGCAAAAGAACGGCGAAAAAAACGTTCACAGAGAAGATGACAACAATTGTCACTAGCACGAAGCAAGGTTATACAAAAAACAAAATGACCCCGAACATGGAATACCTTCACGGAGTGCGTCGAGGCGCAAGCTGTCATCCAGAGAACAGGAGGGTTTAGCTAGCGCCACACTGCAATCTTTAAAGGTCGTTTTCTCAAAATTAGTTTTTTCTCCTACTCTGAGTCCGAGATTTCCACTTCAGTAGCAGTTACATACACCAAACCTTCCAGTTATATTCCTATCAATATTATGAAGGCTTTTACTGAAGGGTTTGTTCATATATCATTCATAGCCTGAATTATATAACATTGTATACCTAAAAACATGGCGAAAATTGATATTTTAGGACAGTATTTTCTGATTTATGGAGTGATAAAAAGAGATATCCAAAATCCCTTCTGTAAAAGCCTTAGATACTAATATGACTACAAAATGAAACAAGAATTTTGAACCTGGCTTTATCCAAAGTTCAGATTTCGGTTCCTGAAATGTGTGAAAATATGCGCATATTTAATGAGATAATGGCTAATTTGCACATTTAAACATGCTATTTCAGAAAACTTGTAATACAAAAAACAATTGCCTTATTATAAGTAATTAACTGGAGAGATTTCTAGCTGATATCTTTAAGTTAAGAAAATTACCCTATTCACCTGGGGTGTCTCGCCTTAAGAGTTTGATTCTACCGAAACCTCATACATGTGAACATACAGATGAGCACAGATTAAGAGGCAGCTACATTTCCCACATATCTACAGATCAACCATCTCCATGAGAACTGAGCTAACACCATCAGCTGTCAAGACCACGAGATGCAGTTAAAGATTCTGGAAAAAGCATATGAAAATAAATTGACCTTGATTAGATAATTTGCCAAGGTCTTTTAAACTAATAGCTTTTTCAGGAAGTGCCAACACATGCAGTTCACGGAATGGCCACTTGAGGCTGGCTGAGCCATTCCCCATGGTAAAGTGCCCAACTTTAAGGCACAAATCAACCGTCTCTACAGCTCATATCCCTATTAATGACAACTGTACGGTTGGTGAATTTTTTGTATGATTTTTTGTATTCTTTATTATGTCAAGGCTTACATTTTCTCAGGACCTGACCACTTTGAGTTACAGGGGAATTTTGTCTGGAACGCTTGCTGTCTGCCATATCACCAGTTGCCTCAACTCCAACAAAGATGTTAATTTTGGGATAGTCAGGAGTTTGTGTAACTGCCAACATGGCGACGCCCCTAGTTGCCAACTTTTAGCTACATAACCACTCTACATAATCCTATGGGTGATGTAAAGAATAGACACAGAATCAGTATTTTATAAATCCTATGGTTCTAATGTGCGCTGCCCCAATCATAGATGATCTTCGTTTTATGTACGAATGGAAAGACAAGGTCAAATTCACCCAAATGTCAGAACCTCAACTATGCTCAGACCAAGTTTAGGAGACAGAATTACAATCAGACACATTGGTGTGTACTCTTCTGTGTGTTTGTAAGCAGGGGAACGTGGGTGATGCAACTCTCCAGAGCGTATGGGTTACATATGTACGCTAGGTGTGTGTGTTTAGCCAGCAAGCACACACACATACACACACCATTGTGTTTGCGAGCTGTACACTTATTTTAATTAGAGCTCCTTTGACAGTAGCTCCACATTTCTGATATGTTGAAATATTTTCCCACATGCACAATATTGTAGGTTTTATTTTGACAGCAGAAGACACATTATGTGATTTTCTGAGCTTTTAAGCCTGAATTAATTTTAGTGGCATGAAATAATCTTAAGCAGTCCCTTGTGACGTGACAAAAAGCTGTTTATCTCGGTTCATGTATTTTTGAGTGTTTACTTTGAAAGTGATGATTTTGACAAATGTACGCGTTGTGTCCAGGGTCCGTTGGAGGGTAAAACTGACCCTTTACTCAAGTAAAGGGTCTGAGTACTTCTTCCACCTCAGCCATTTTGCCCTTTTGAGGCACACCAACTTACTTTACCCATCTTTCAAGTGTACACAATACTGTGATTTAGGATACAACAATCTCTGTTTTAATTATACAATCTTTCACAATAACAATGATGCATTTAAGAGACAGTTATATTTTCAGTCCATTTCCACAGAAAAAACACTAAAAGAACAGCTTATACTGGCTGTTCTATAACAAATATGATTAGTTTCACTAGAATTTGATCCAGTATGAAATGTCATATATCATTTACATAGGGAATCAACCCTCAATGACCCAGCTGAAATACTGTTTGCTAAAAAACATAATTAACCATGTAAATCATATTAATTATTTACTTTTATCAATATAATCAATATACACATTTTAAGCTTTATTGTCCAATCGTACCAACTCTTAATTGGGAGACATTACCTCTTTAAGAGACAGGTTTGGTGATGTGTATTGCTTGTTAATGCATTTGCTCTATCATTGGTTGTTTTGCATACATACATTACATAACCCTAACCCTAACCATTGATGTTAGACGGTGGCTTATCAAATAGAGGAATAGCCTTTACCCAAGTGCTTATCAAAAGTGCACCAGAACTTCACACAATGATAAATATTACCTTTACTACATTCATCTGCTGGTGCACCAGAACACCCCCCAGAGTGTTATGTTGTCTATCCTAAGAACTGTTGACACTCCTTTTAGTCTTAAAGGAGAGGTGTCATGGCCATTTCCACTGATCATAATTCCATTGTTGAGGTATACTAAAATAGATTTATACTTTGCAATTTTCCAAACTCACATTGGTTTCGCATACAGCATCTCTGTAAAGTATGTGTATTCAGCAGTATTCACTCTCTCCACTAAACGGCTCGTTGGAGCACTTGCCCCCCCCTCCCTGTGAGCCCAGTGTGCTCCGATTGGTCAGCTCGGCCCCTCTGTTCTGATTAGTCAACCACCAGAGAGGCTCCACCCATGTCTAACAGTGCTTTTCTTCGGCTCGCTCTGAGCATGGGTGTATAATAAGAGGCTCTGAGCGGAATATCAGTCTGATGGCGTCGGTACAACCGTATATGTTATACGCTAACTAACCGAACTGTACCTACAACTGTATTTAGGTGCACTTGTGGAAACTGCGCCATGATGCCTACCGAAGTGGAAAACGTCTGTTGCAAAGAAATTAGAAAGGTGGCCTAGCTGACAGTTAGCTGCTAGTTAGCTGAAAACACCAACAGTAGATCACAACATTCTATGCCAATATATACACCATACACACCCCGCAGAACCTCCATAACATGTACAGATTCGATTATAGACCTTTGAGGTGTAGAACGGAAGAAGAGTAAGTTATTTTTACCTGTAATAAACTACTACTGTGTTTGATGAAAAATCAAATCATGGTTTGCTATATATGAATGATATGTTATAGGAGCAAATAATTCAGGGAAGAAAGGATAGGCCTACTAAGTATTTTCCATCAAACTTTATTTTTAGAAATGTACAAAATGAACATAAATATACATATATACACGGTATATCATCCATTCCTCCCCGTTGTCGGCATCTTGCCTATCGCAGCCGGGGCTTTTTAGGACGAGGCGTCAGTGTGGTAGTCCCGTCCCCGTCATGTATTGCCAGGATCTGGCTGGACGAAATCAAATGCAAATCACAAAATATTAGAGAAACTTAGTTGTTTTAGATTCGTTAGTAGTAGTTGTGGTAGGAGTGTGGATCTATCTAATCCATCTATCTAATCAACACAGTAAGCTTGCCAGCTAATATGCTAACCTAGCTTTTTTGTTTACCTTGGTAGCAAACACGATATGAACGGTAGCTCGGAGGAACGGCAACTATAATGTAGTGTAATAAAACTACTATGAACAAAAGCTAGTGGTTCATATTAGGCTAGCAATAACGTGTTTATAATTGCAATCTTATACGGGTAGTCTGCTACGTTCGGTCATTCATTGTAACTGGCATGAATACAATGTTTTCCGCTAGCATGTATAGCTAGCCTCGTTAGCTATACATGCTATCAGCGTAGCTCGGAG